CATGCTGCGCATAATTTCTAAAACCGAATTCAGCTCTGACCGTACAAATTCCAATTCACGGACATCAGGCTGCAAATATCGGCGAGACGGCGACGAGCAAGCAATCAGTGTTCGGATGCGGTTACTTATCCGAGTGCGGCGTCTACGAAGGTTTGTTCTGCGACGAATCAATTCTTTCCAGCGGTCCTCAAGTTCCTCAACAGGAGTTTCACCCACGCTCGTACCATAATGGCGTGGCGTAAAACTACTAGTCACAAACTCTGGTGGTGGCGGAAACGCCATTACCACCGCTGACACTACCAGTCGAAACTTGTCGGATCCAGCTCGAAGGACCAAATGTTTCACCGGTTCCCTCGCAAACGCACACTGACATTAGACACAACCATTGGAGGCATCGATCTATTTAGAAGACTGCATTACCAAACATGTTCTCAAAACACCATTAAAGAATCTAACTCTAAAAGAACAAAGAACGGAGAGCTGGGGAAGCACGTACCCGGCCCCGTACCGGACACCCAGCCAAGGAGGACGACACCGTATCGTCCCCACGCTAGAGTGGCAAAGAAAACAGCAAGCAAAGAAAATCGGCCAGCGGGCGCAGCTCAAACATCTTGAGCGACATGCGCAAAGAAAAACATGTGACAGAAAATAATCCATGATGTCATCTGCACTCACGCGGACATGCAAAAAAGGTCAAATCTACACAAAAGCGAGTGCCGCAAGAAACAGCACAAATAAAATTTTAATATTAATTCAAACAGCGAAGAACTAGAAAGGCAGATTTCTAATTATCGAAGAACAAGAATGTATCGTAGAGTCCCAGCGCAACTGCCGGAGGATGCTGGCACCCACCAGACGAGTGGTGGCTGCCCCTGCCAGAGAGATAGAACGAAAACTGAAGCAGAGGAGCCACATTACAAATAGTGAAACGCACAAGGTAAGAATAATCGAGCAGTGTCCAATTACGACATAAGGAGTAATATACATGTTAAAGACAAACACTATCAAATGGAGAACGTTCCAACACTAAGCCAAGTGTGAAGACGTACTGGAGAGGACCGACTTACAATGACAATAGAAGTGATAACAACAGTGGATTTTAGACAATGTGGAAGACCGCGTAATTAAACCAGAACTTTGAGACTTGAGAAGCTAGAGTGAGAAACTCCATGAAGATTAATACTGGAGGAGATGCAGCTGAAGCGACAATGAGCATCACCAGGCCATGAGATGGGTACTGTGATGTCACGTAGAGGAGAGATGGACACAGGAGGGGACAACAAAGAAAGAAGCCCAGAGTGGTACTTCATCTATCAAAAAGTCATCTGTCCACGCATGCTAATAGTCGGGAGTTGTACTGTAATGACGTTTTCTCAGTACTGTCACGTGGTAGAGATCCATTGCATTCGGCTGTGTTAGAAGCGTTGTACAAACTTGAAAGTTTTATCCTGAGCTTTGTTTCCAGAAAGAAAATGTGTTGTCTGTACAATTGTTTGATGCTATTCCTCGTCGATGTGTGAATAATGCTACATAATTTCTTCACTACGCTGTTGTTGTTATTATCATATCTCCTTCTGAGAACTCAACCTTGTCACGAGAGTTATATCTCAGTACATTTTCGCTATATGTTGTAGTATTTTCATTTCAGCCATTCCCTGTATAATCCTGGAGAGAAAGGGAAGAAAAACGCTTGATACCTCATGTGAAATGTCTTCTGGACTGGATGCGTTAATTGCAAAAATGTACGCGAACTTGGCTTTGTTTTAGAAAAAAATGAGAAAAAGGTAACATCAAGTTAATTACCTCCTAAGCGTCATCGAAATTGTCACAGTTTGACTTTTGAAATAGAACGGAGTATATAATCACCAGCAGTTGTACCACAGTTAAGGAATCGGACATAGACGATAGTCATCAGTATAGGGTCAGAGCAAAGTTCTATTTTCTGTTGTTGGAAACTGAAAATTTTGAACTAGATGCAATGTCTTCGCTGATGTTCCTGCGATAGTACTTTCGACTCGCTGAGATCAGTCAGGCATTGCAATCTGCATATTTATCGTGCTTACTAGTATAGCGATTCACTCAAAAACTGATCATTGTTTTACCTTAGCTGGGGTGAGAATAACTTCGTGGAACAATCCGCAGCGCTTGGAGAAACATCGAGGGGGTCAGCAAACTAATGCATGCAAGGAATGCTGAGACAGTCAGTACTGTACCTGCGAGGGCCGTGTAGACTCTGCGTGTACACAGTAGTGTAGAGCTAGTGATGCATGTGCAGGTACTGAATGAATCTACCAGTGGTGCTGAAAAAGGGTGCGCGTTCGACGTGATAGTACACTTACCTGCATGAGCAGTGACCACACAGCTAAATTGAATGGGCATCCAACGGCTAAAAAAAGGTTCATTACAAGCTCGAGGTGATTCCGCCGACGATACTCAACCGACCTCGCAACGATCGTGTATTCTTACTGCGTTTGGTGGTGAAGTAGAATTCATCCAGAGCTAGCAGAGGACAAGCATAACAGCTGTTGTCCTGTGGAGAAAGTCAAAGCATTTGACATAAGGCACGACCAACTTACAACCTTCCTGGAAAATTTGCGAAACGATGTATTTTCGGCAATTTACATCGGCGACAACGACTCCTTCAGCTCCGTGTGAAACTCTCAGCCTAACTGTCCTGGAACGTTACTCTAGACTTCAGACTATCATCATATGTAATAATTTTTGTATGGTTTAGCTTATGGAGTTGTCAGTAACAAGTGACAAGTCACTATTCAAACTGCGACAATTTCGATGATGCGGATGAAGTATATGTTTCGCGTCGGAATATTCCTGGAAAAGGCATGCATGTGGGAGGGAAAAAACAGAAATGGAGGAAAAACAAAACTCCTTTCCATGTGTACTGAGCAATGTTGTACACACAATAGCTGCCCTGCTGAACTATCTCTTATCCAAAACGACTAAAAGTCTCCACAGTACAGCTGGCAGACTGGGCTGGAGCGATGGGGCAACAGGCTTCATGGATGGCTCATTCTGAACTTTGACATGAGTCCGGTGGAACTCCTCTCCATCACGGTCCAGAAAAATCTCGGATTCCTTGACACCTGGAATCTCTGCTCGCTTTGTGAACAGGCCCTACCGCACGGCTTGGAAAAATAGAATTTTCATCTCTCGCACAGTCACACTTTCTACTGTTGTATCATCGCCGGGCAAGATTATCGAGAAGCTGATAATCTTTGATTTGATACTGGCTAAAGAATGTTCACCAGAACAGCCATCGATTTACTCATCTGGGTGTTTGTTTTCTATTTTTGTCACCTGTTGTGTATAGTGTTTGTCGCCGTATTGTCCCTCTTTGCGTTGCTTCTCTCTCATCTATTATACGCATACTCGTTGTAAATATATCAGTCTTTGTCTTCACCCACAGTGGACTCCTGCATGGCTACAGGCGAACACATGGTGGCAGCTGTTGTGTCTACGCGTGTAGAATTAGGAAAGAACCCTCTCCCCCTCTAGCCAGCAGTTCGAGCATCCCCAGCTCCGAGACAGTCTTGTCATGTGTCGTCGTCGTCAGTCAAACGTTTGGGAACACTAAATGTCAGTCCAGTCATGCCCGGCATGCACTACGCTCTGCTTGTGCCATCCTACTTGTGAACTATATTCTTCATCAGCAGTCACGCCACTGCTCCTTGTCTCTCCTGACCGTCATCCCTGTCCAGCCAGTTCATTGTCCCGCATGCTCTATCTCTCGGCAGCTCCAATAAGCCTGCTGTTGAGCACTAATCGCCATGTTCCCATGCCGTGCTCAATCCATCCGTCTGGGAGAGAATGAGACGTCACTGTATGGACGTGCCTCGGCCTCGAGCGTTCCGGATCCGCTCTGACTCATGAAGGAAGGAATTGTCAGGCGCATGGTTAGCTGTAACTCATTCTCTCTTTGCGCTTTCGATTACACGTTTATACAATTCTGGAACTGTTTTTTTTTTACTTCTGGAAGGACCAGAGTGAGCGGATTCCGGGCTTGTAAACGAACGACTGGAATTCACAATGCATTTTATTCATGTCATGTCACAAACAAAATTGATGATTCGTAAAGAGAGATCCTTCTGTCCCCTTCATGCCTGAATGCAGTATGTAAGAATGTTCCAGAGCACTTCAAGATTCACGTGCGGGCTCGCAGCAAATGTCACCTAGATGGGCTAGAGGCTGTTTACATTGCCAAGCTACAGCCTGAGTTGTGTAGACAGAAGGAGTTTGTTAGGAAGCTAGTACTATTTTGACTTCCCACCTCCCTGTTATAGTGTGTGTACTCTTTGGCGCAACTCACACTATCATTCAGCCTGTGTACGTTTCATCATGATTTTTCCGCCAATGTGCTGTGTAAATTGACATCGTTGTGCTTCGTCACATTATCACCATGTACTGATTTTGAAGAGTAATGGTATGAAAGGCCTCATCAGATTTTCAACTAGCTTTGTCTCTTCGTGTGCTAATAATTATGTTTCCCTCCGACTAAGTCTCTATTATATAGTATTTTCCTTGTTCTTTTTTTCTTCCCGAAAAAAGAATATATTGTATACATACGCCTTTTCTCTCTCTCCCCCCCCCCCCCCCTTCTTCCCCGGAAGGGGAGATGTTGTGTATAGTTCTTGTCGCCGTATTGTCTCTCTCCATATTGTCTCTCTCTCATCTATTATGCGCAAGCTCGTTGTAGATAATCAGTCTTTGTCTTGTCCCACAAGGGAATTCTGAGAGGGAAGAGAATCCTGAGAGGGAAGAGAATCCTGAGGGGTCCCACAAAGGAATTCTGTGTGTATGTGTGTTTATGTGTGTGTTTTTGGATGTGTCTGTGTGTGAGTGCATGCATGCATGAGTGTATGTGTGTGTGTGTGTGTGTGTGTGTGTCTGTGTGTGTGTGTGTGTGTGCGTGCGTGTGCATCAACATGTGTATGACTGTGGGTATGTGTGTACTTGTATTGTCTTTATTTTGCTGCTACTTCCAGGATGGTAGAACACCATTACATCTTGCAGCAAGGCATGGTCATGTTTCTGTAGCAGAATTTCTTCTCACTTCTGGACATTCGTTGGAACCAAAGGATAATGTAAGTCATCCGTGATGCATTCTTGTTTGTATATGAGTAGAAAGAAGAATTACACAAGTGAATAAATTCAGTGGGTATTGACCATGCCTGTGGGTCTGCTTTACGCTAGAAATTCACATTTGGCAATTTTTTAGAAATTATGTCCACAAAAGGTTTCGTGCGATTCAAATATGCTATAATACTAAGTAGTAGCACAAACTTCAGACTGTTCAACATCATTATGAAAATTAATGTTTTTTGCGAGTAAACTTCCGTGCCTTTTCTGTATGTTGTTACGTTGCTAATTGACCTTTTTCAAAGTTTGGAGCAGGGTGCAGGTTTTCGCGCTCTGAGGCTCCCACAGTTTCTCGCCAAGAAAACCAGCATCAGGCCCAATTTGGCTTAAAAGCCCAATCAGTATCTGACAGTTGGTAGATGGCCCTAAACCAGAACATGGACATAGCACTGCTCGAGCTTTCCGCACTCCACAAGCTGGCCCAGCAACTCCAAATCGAGAAGTGGAACTCGCTGCCCCGCCCGGACCTTGTTGCCGCCCTCAGGAACTCCGGAATCGGAACGCATCCGCCACACCATGGCTCTCCAGGTATGGATGCACTGATAGGCACAATTACCGATCTGTCTTCAACCATTTCCGCTCTAACTGCCGAGATGGTTTCTCAGCGAACAGAAAGGGATAGAGAAATAGTATGCATGAAGACAACCATTGACGAGCTCACCGCAAGAGTTCTGCAACTCGAAGAGGGTGCGAGTCGCCAACGGCTGCATGTAACACCCTCAACCGTGTACATCCCCGGGGACCCCCGTACCAGCCCCATGACATACTACTCCAGCGTAGCATTGCATGGTACAAGTGGAATACAGCACGTGTCACATTCTCATCTACATGTAGACGGAGATCTACAACAAATGGGCCACAACTCCACAGGTGCACGACCAACCAACACCAGTGCTGGAACTGTTCAAAACCAAACTGATACGGGAACGAGTTCAAATGTCAACAACGCCCAGACAGACTCAGAGTGAAAAACGGCTAACTACCGAAAAAGCAAGCCCTCTAGCTCTGCCCAAAGTAGTAGGAGACACACCAGCACACCATACGGTACACGTACTGATAACGGTTTGGCGGAAGGGAACGACCCAACCGCCAGATCGGTAACATCGAGATTCATCAAACCGACACCAGTAAACGAATCTCCAAATGTGCTTTCTGGTACCACTCGCGTGCGGCGGAAAGTATTTTTCGTGGGGAATGTAAGTCCCAGCTGCAGAGCAACATTTATGTTCTCTACGTTTCCCTCTCCTATCTACTAATTCCTTGCGCAACAATACACCCTCCCAATATCTCCAGTGGAATCCTTCCCGCCCCATTCGCTATAATTTTAACTTCCGTAAAGCACCACCCCAAACTTGGGACCGTATAAACGAACATATCCAATCCTACGATTGGTCACCCCTCAGCGTTATGCCTGATGTCGATGTTGCTCTTGCGTACTTCGAGCATACACTCCAACACATCTTTGACCTGTACTTGCCGCCTCACGCTCCCACGCACCGGCCTACGTCTCCCTCATCAGACCCACCATGGATGACACCGGCTCTGCGCTCTGCTGTGAAACGGAAGCACGACGCATTCAGTGTTTCCAGGAAGTACCCGACAGCGGATAATCTGGCTGCTTATCGACGCCAGCGTAACCTCGTGAAAGACTTATCTCGACATGATTATCGCTCTTACATACGCAGCATCAAGTCCACGCTCTCAAAAAATGACCACCCGTCTCTTTCTCAGTTCGTCAGGCGACTACGCAAGCCAACTTCCACCAGTGCTCCCATAACCTCAATGCAGAGACCGGACGGCATTATTGCTCATGATACTAGGGACATTGCAAACTTGCTCAACGTGCATTTTACCACTGTCGCACCTAGTGACGGCACACGATGGTGTGTGCCATCTCTTGCGGAACACTCTGCTATTCTGTCCTGACTTGATTCCTTCCAGACCTCCCCATCCACAGTTAGGACCGTCATTAACAAGCTGAAAATCAATAAATCACCTGGTTTTGACGGTCTTCCCAATGAAGTTCTTAAACGTCTGGCACGTTCAATTTCGTCTCCTCTCTCCACCATCTTCAACATCTCCTTTGCAAGCGGCGTATACCCACTTGTTTGGAAGTTTACTCTTGTCACTCCCATTTATAAGAATAAAGGTTCTCGTCAGCACACTATCAATTATCGCCCCATTTCGCTGCTACCAAGTTTGTCGAAAGTATGTGAACGTGTTGTTTACAATATTCTGTATACACATTTCTCACCCGCGCTTTCTCAGTACCAGTCTGGCTTCTGTCGTGGGGACTCGACCTAGCTACAGCTGACCCGCATTGTCCAGGAGCTGTACACTCAGCGACACCAAAGGCGCCATCAAGGTCTCTGCTTCTTCGACTTGGCCAAAGCATTCGATTCGGTATGGCATAGAGGGCTGATCGCAAAACTACGATCGTGCTACCGTGTCACCCACCGCGCCAACAACTGGTTGTCGTCATACCTGAGCATGCGGACCCAAGCCGTGAAAGCAGGCGGCCTGATTTCGGAGGATCGTCCTGTAAATACAGGTGTACCACAAGGGTCTATTCTTGGCCCCATGCTTTTCTTGATGTACGCGAATGATTTGCCATCCGTTACTCCTGGCCTCTCGCTTTATGCAGATGACACCGCCCTTCATCGCTCAGCCTCCACCGTGCACGAACTAACGGTATCGCTCCAGCAGGGCATCGATGACGTGGTAAACTGGATGAAGATCTGGAAGCTACAGCCCAATGTCCAGAAGACAAAAGTGTTGTATATTTCGTTCTTGACTCGAAGCTATCATGGTCCAAACATGCTGACCATATTTGCCTTAAAGCATCCAGAATTTTAGGAACTCTGAAGCCTCACTGCCATTATCTGCCTCACGACTGTAGATCTCTGTTTTTCTCTTTGTATATTTGTCCGATCTTTGACTACTGTGACGTAGCGTGGTGTGGGTTATCAACCACGATATCAGACAAGCTCGAAGTTTGCCAAAGAAAATTATTAAAAATGCTATTTTGCTTGCCCCGTGATTTCTCCTCTGCACAACTCTATGTTCTCGCTCGTGTTTGCCCCCTTTCTATTCGACGCAGTCTCCACAGCAACATGCTAATTCAAAAGATAAAACTCGAGAAAGTACCAAGGCGTCTTTTTCCCTATGACTGGTTTGTGCGGAGCCGTTCAGCCAGGGCACAAGTCTCGCTACCTGTAGCTCGCACTGTCCAGTTTACAAAATCCCCTTTGTTTCATTCCTATTCTGACTGGCTCAAGCCTCGCCCACCACTGCCACAGCATGTCTCAGTTTCGCCAAGTTGTTTGTACTGAGTTGCGTTTTCCTGCAGCACTCACGCGTGTTTAGCTAAACAATGTAATTTCCGGCTATCTCACTTAATTGGCTGAGCCTTGTTTTCCTCCCTGTTCCTTTCTTTCTATTGTTTTCTTGTTTTCTTTTGTACTTTTACCATGGCTGGTTATCGCCCTCATCTCTGGGGTTGCTCCCCACATTAGCAATGCGTGCACATGCTACGAGATTGAGTTTAATAATAATAATAATAATAATTCATTCTTCCGTACATTGTCTCCTTCCTCATCAACAAGGTGATATAGCGGCACGAGCAAACGAGAGCCAGAACAATGAATTATGGATATGCATGATGTATATTGGTAATGCATTTATCACCGTTGTTTTTAGCTATTCTACTTTGACCCGGTTTTATCACCTCATTGTTGCACATAACTCATTGTGCTTTTGTTAGCTCTTGCTTGTATATCACCTGAGGAGAAGGTACGGAAGTTTACTCGCGAAACCATTAGATTATTATGAATGTTGTTGAGGAGCCTAAGGTTTGTCCTATCAACATAACAAGCAGGTTTCCTTTGCTTCATTAGCCTGGGAAACATTTAATGAGTTACTAGCGTCACCTCAAACGTGCTCATAAGTCCAATGTCTTGAAGAGATCTGGTATCTGGTTTCACGTTGGCAATTCGAGGATCGCAGCATCTATGCTTCCTCCGGAAACCCTCTCGAGTGCTGGACTCCAGGTGCCATTGTATGATCTACAAGCGCTCCACCCCCCCCCCCCCCCCCCCAGGCCTGGAGAATGGCATTGTCGTGTGGATGAGCGCTGCACAAACCACTCTGGCTCGCCTCATCCAACCAGGTGGCCATCGCCTAATCGGTGAGGGAACCTACCTTTGCCTCCTGTACAATATGCAATGTACAGATGCAAATCCCCTTCTACAGAGGATGTTGACACCCCAGCAGCCCCACTACCAAACAGTCCACTCCACCCGTAGTACGTTTCGAAGATGTAATGCCCACGCACACCAATTGGTAAAGGAACTTCCAGTCCCTTCCCGAAACAACCTGTGTCGAGCCTACCCTCACACAGTTGTCCCTGTCTGGGCTTTTTTGGTCTTTTTTTAGTTGTGTAGAGACCGTCCCATGCCAGGTACAACACTGTCCTCTGCTATAGCGACAGGCGTGCCAGTAGATGTCGAGTGTTCGGCAGATCTGGTGTCCCCCACCTTCGAAACGGCAAGTTCAGACCAGAGTATGGAGAAATCTTAATTTCCGAAGATCGTTGAAATGCAGGAGCTAGACCGCAGTGCAGCTGAGGACAGGGAGAAACGACTTCTAAATCGTATCGACCACCTTACGCGGAAGGTAGAATAGCTCACACACGAGATGACGGCTTTGCAGTCTGCTCAAGATGACAGTAATGGCGGCCAAAGACGCCAAGGATCTCCCTCGGTGCAAAAATAATCCCAGAAGAAACAGAAGCGTGATGCAGCTTCCAGCCCTGGCGCACCCGTACCCGTAGCTGGCTACACTCAGAAGGAACTAGTACGAGATTCGGTTGAACCCTGCTCCTGAGTTGTACGTAGCGAACAAGATACCAGCGTGACCGAAGCGTCCAGGGTGCATCAAATGGACC